TACAAAATAACTGCTCAGAATAAATGCTATGGATTTTTTTTGTATTTTAATTAACACTATAAACTGTATTGTCTTTCTGACAGAAATAATATACAAAATAACTGCTCAGAATAAATGCTATGGATTTTTTTTGTATTTTAATTAACACTATAAACTGTATTGTCTTTCTGACAGAAATAATTTTCAGACTGCTATCTCTGAAGTATTCCTTACAATAGGTTAGTAAAATCTCCATATCTTTCAAGCACTACTATACATTTTAATTATCTGAATCTTAAAGAGTTTAACAACTTCAAATTGTCCACATGTGTGAATTAACAATTTAATGAATGTAGGGGCAAACAAGGAGTCACATGCAAATGGTTAATGTGCTTGGCTGCTAACATAAAGGTTCCTCGGAAAAAAGCCCTGGTATGACAATCACTTCCAAAACTGCAGCCACTGAAAACCCTATGGAGCACAGCTCTACTGTCACACATAGGGTCACCAGGAGTAGGGATCATCTCAGTGACAACTTACAGAGAGGTGTGAACAAGACCAAATTAATCACAAATGCTTTCCGCAAAAGTAATGTCAATTAGCAGAAGTCCTGAGCAAAAGTTTATACTGTAAGACAAAAATAGCAACTAGTCTCCAAATGTGGTTCGAATTTTCAAATGCCCTCTTTCCTACCCACTGCTGTTGATTTCAGGCCGATTCCACTGGGTTTCCAAAGTTGTAAATCTTTACAGAAGCAGAATGCCCATCCTATTCCTACAGAGGAGTGTGATAGCTTCAAACTGCCAACCGTTTCAGTTAGCAGCCAGGCACAGTAACCACCAGGGTTCCTATGTCCTTGTTTAGCTACCACATATTTTGATTTTAAGATAATTATGGTATATTGCAACAAGTTTACTATATGCTCCTGAAGTGTGTGGAAAGTTGAGAACACCTGCTGGCAAGACAAACACTGATTGTGGCCATTTATCCTTAGGTTAAGATATTATGAAATGAAATGTCGTTTCACCAAAACTATACAAGCTATTTCAACAGTGCCAGCCAAAGCAGGTCTAGCCCTTTATTTTTCAAGTCACAGGCCAAAGATAACAAGTAATCTTTCCAATAGCATATTGGAACACAACTCACAAGAGTCTTATGTTAGGAGAGAATACAACAGACAAAGAGTAGGTTTTGGAATCAGGTAGGTGGGGATTTAAACTGCAGCTCTGTCCTGTACTGAATAAACTGGACAACCTTTGTGATTTTAATTTCTTTATCTGTAAAATGGCTGTAATATATCACCTTCACTGGTTTGTTGTGAGGATTAAGTGGTAGAATGCAGTCAATAAATATCTATCATTACTACTTACTTTACTGTCTCCAGCAGAAATTTTTTTAATGGAACTAGGGTTCCAGTTCCTACATGCATAGGGTTATTCCAAACAAAACGGGATGGCTGCAGACAACTTCTCCTAGTAATATAATGTATCAATCTCATTTGGGCACTTTCAAATAACAAGATACATTTTTTTTTCTTGAAAAAACAAAACAAAAAACAATTTTAATGTCAGGGCTCACAAAGAATGTTTAACAAAACTCAAGTAGACATCTTCCCAAATCACTGAATCTTTGCAACAAGTTTACAGGAATGCTGCCCCACATAAAACAAGTTTTCATATGGATCAAGCATTTTGAGAAAGGTCAGGAAAACTTCAAAGGTGAACCAAGAGAGAGAAGACCAACAATACTGACGAATAAAGAAACTGTAGCTGAAGTACAGAAACTTGTGGAAGACCACTGAATTACCATTGATGTAATAGTTACTGAAGTTGGGATTTCACACTGTTTCCAACTTTAGCAAACATAGTGGCCTCAGCAAGCTTTTGGCTCAATGGGTGCCAAGAGTATTGTGTGAAGATGAGCTAACTCAAAGAGCTTATCTCTCCTATCAATCCTTTAAGCAAGATTAAAGGTAACAAAGACTAATATTTCATGGAATGACTCTTAACCAGGGACTAAGAGTTTTGAATTTGCCATACAATTCAGAGCAAGGTTCAGTGAAAGCAGTGGTTTCTCTGAGCCAGTTCAATTAAAGGCAGAAAGGTCAGCTCAAGTTATGGCCAGTGTTTTATGTGATTCTAAAGGAGTAATCTTGGTAGGTTTCATAAAGGACAGGATGATCAAGAGGCTTTTTGAAGAAGTTTTAAAAACGTTGAAAATTACACTGGTGAGAAAAAGGCTAAGAAAAGTGCCATGGATTTTTCCCCTCATCATGACAATGCACCTGCTCATTCTTTGATGGGAGCAAGGGTGTCCTACAAGAATTATTAGGAAACGTCACTCCATCCACTCTACAGCCCTGATCCTGCCCTCTCGGACTTATTTTTGGTCTCCAAATTCACTATATAAAAGGATCGCTATTTGACTCCCTCAAGGATACTCATGCTGTCAGGCTGACATGTCAACTGAAGAGTGCAGAATTCTTGGGGGACAAGTTAGAGATGAAAACAACACCTTCAGAAGTGTATAGAACTAGATGGAGGATATGTCCAGAAACAACAGCTTCATATTTAGCTATTATTTAACAATGATTTTATAGCAATATTTTCTGACCCACCCTCACATTACTTATACTTAAACAGAAGCAAATATAAAGGCAAAAGTATCTAGTGATAGAGTAGCCTAGAAATGTCTTAAGCAAACATTTTAATGTTTCTTTTCTCTACACAGATGGTGCTGGATATTTACAGTTATCAGAAGATTGTCTACTTACTTCTGATTTATCATAGTTGTATCATTTTGCACCTTTTGAAAATATCCCATTGAAAACTCCAAAATTAATTACAGACCATGTGCTTTAGTCATGTAAAATAAAATTTAGTAGCATTTTATCAATGTCAACCAGAATGTATGAAATAAAAAATAAGTAATTGTCATTCTTCAGAAAATTGCTCAAACTTTCTTAAGTGTTTTGTAAATAGTTTCAATTTTAAGAGAATTCTATTTAGTGCCAAGATGAAGCAATTACTTCCTGCCAAACAGTAAAAAGCAAACCATTCTTCCTGTCACAAGAAGGTCTCTCACCTAATGGGTAACTCGTCCATGTCAAAAGTCTTTAAGACCTTACTATATATGGTAAAGACCAGGATTTTATAAAAACTAGCACAGTACTCTTCTCTTAGAGTAAAATAAACACATTCATCAACTTCTCCAGGGGGATTCAGGCAGAATTCTAAACTGTTTCTGTCACAAAACATAGTCAGTCTATGGGGGCTAAAGCCTCCGTCAGTTCAGCTCAGGTTTTTTCAAAAGGAGTTTTCACACCAAACTGACAAAAGCACCTTCAAACATCTAATGGAAAACAACCCTATCACTAACCCCTATGCCACCTCTTCTCCAGATACTCTATCTGCACTCCGGCTGGACTGAAGTCCCGAGGATGACAGCCCCTACTTGGGCTTCACAGGAGTTGCTACCCAGGGACATCCCTAATAGATATCACTAGTTGGCCCCTTCAGCCAGAAGGTAATACACATGCCCACAAACATGTCATGTATGGTGGTGCCATGGCAGTGTGATTTTTCTTTTCTCATCCCTGTTCCCAAGTGTCCCGAGCTAACACTCTCCTTTCATATGAAATTCATAATGTTGATAGAACATTTTTTCTGTCCTGAGCTAACACTCTCCTTTCATATGATATTCATAATGTTGATAGAACATTTTTCAACACTCCATTCCAATCCTTATCAATCCTTTCCCAACAAATCTCCATCTTAATTCCCACAAATCTCCATCTCAGTACTATCAATTCCTTTCAAAGCATATATTTTTAATTCATTTCCAGAATTCAATCATTAAGTTAATAAGCACATTGACTTGAATTGCTAACTTCTTAAGGTTTTTTATTAAAATTGTTTTTAAATGAGACAACCCTCCCTGGTTCATTAATCTTGATCTTTATTAACTAAAAAACTGCAGACAAGTTTCCATTTTTTGAGTCCAGCTTCAACAAGCTCATGTAACTCAAAATTTTAAATAAATAATTTGAAACTAAATCAGATTATATATTAAAATATATATTCAGTGGTGGTGCTCCTTCAAAAGTACTTGATGTGGCAAGAACTGTAAGGACCAAACTGATTTTACCTGATTTTGCCTACCTAGAGACTGCTTCACTAAACTCTAGTCAGGCTCAGGAAAGCATTTTAAATAGACAAGGCCTCAGTTTTTAGTTCCCTCCAGAGACAAGGTCAATCTCCATTCTGTACATTAGCCTGAACACGTCCTCTAGCTCCAAGAAAATGATATATGTATAAATAGTCAGGCAGCTCAAGGCCAGAGGCCAGATGTTTTCCTTTACCCTAGCCTAAGAACAAAGACCACCAGTCCTGACCAATTAAACTGTAACATCTCATAGTTTGCCAATTGTTAGCCAATCCAAAGATTGTAAAGCTGAGAAACCTGAGCTGTTTGAAAATTCTATAAAAACCCTGCAGACAATGAATTCAGGGCTCTTTCCCTATTCCGATGCGTCGGATAAGGTGAGAGATCTGGCTCGAGCTTGATTAAACTTCCCTTATGTATTTGCATCGGTACATGGCTCCTGGGTGGTCTTTGGGGACCCCGAATTCTGGGCATAACAGAACTACCTCTGGATCTCAAAAGCTCAGTGTAGAAAAAAACAGAATTGACAAACAAAAACTAGGTGGGCAAAGTAGAAGCGATGGTTGATCAGAAATCTCCCTTTATTCTGGTTACAATTCTTCAAAGAGCACTAGTTGTTTTAATTTAAGGTTAAGCCATGCTTAAATAAAATATATAAAACATATGACTGCACTTTCTGAATGGAAAGCTGAAGAGTCTATGTTCTATTTCACCATATTTACTAATAATATTCTGCTAAACACAAATTGCTTTGAAAATGAATAAGTTCCCAAGTGACCTTCTTATGAGTTCGGTGATCCTGTCTTCTTCTCAGTGCATACTCGTTTGTTAGCCTTTAGCTTATATGAAGACTTCTGCTACAACCTAGGGCAGCCAGAGTCCGAGTCTTCACTCCAGTGTGCTTCTCGTTTCTCTGCTACAAGTTTGATGAATTGAGAGTGACTGGCATAAAGCTTGAGTTTAGCACTGATGTCTACCCACTTCACTTTTCCAGCATCATCTCCAGCTTCTAGAGTAAGATTATCCATTACCTCACCTGGTCAACAAAAATCATCACCAAGAAAAAGTTTAGCACATTTATTCATTACTTTTTCAACACATCTTTAAAAATTCTTATTAAAATTAACCTTAAATCATAACTGCATTAAGTGATCAAGATTAAGTGCATTAAAAACTAGAAAATTCCCAACTGCCCATATTTTAATCAAGTTTTGAAATTTTAGGTGCAGGCACCTATAGGAAAACTATTCTTATTAAAAAGTATTAATATCATTCTTAAAAAACATTTAATATTAAATAACATGATATGTTACATCAAAATAAATTGTAAAAGATTTAACTGTAAGAAAAAAAAAAACTGAAACAAAGTAAATTATTGGTAACTAGTTGTACAGTCTTGAGGTAAGTGGGCTTTTCTGGTTTAACAAACCAGAAACCATACAGAAATGTTTATAAGTTTAATCAGAAAAAAAATTAAAAATAAGTGACTCTCAATCACAGGTGTATGGCCTATTTCTGAAGGACAACTGGGCAATATTTATCAAGCTTAAGTATTCTTTCATAGCATCCATTCAACAATTGTTGGAGTGCCTCTCATGCACCAGATTCCAGTTTAAGCCCTATACTGAGCACAATACACAATCCAGAACTTCACTTCAAAGAATTTATGCTAAGGAAATAAAGAGACAAGCCTATAAAAATACTTAAAATAACATTATTCTAACAACAACATAAAAATGGCCAACTATAAAACAAATTAAATGATGGTACACAAATGATTCCCATTTGGGAATGTACCCATCATATTTCAGATGCTGGGGAGGGCAATACACCAAAAGGTGGAGGGGCATGGAAGAACAAGGTAGATAGTGGAACACTTAGGCAGGTTTGCATGGGCTAAATGGGACAGAGGTAAATAGTGATGTACGCTCAGCCTCGGAACAACAGGCTCTGTGATACAGGGACTGAAGCACAGTCTGAATAGGTAACCGAGGGGAAATAATGTTAAGATGCTTGACTGTCTTATGAATATTGATTTCCCTTGCCTACCATTGTAAAATAGACACTTAAGTGGGATGAAAAGGAATTTCGGGAAACATGATTACAGAAAGCTTGCAAGTTCATCTTCAGCCTATAATTCATTGGAATGCCTAAAAGGGGTTCTATAATTTGCCCAGTGAAATAGGCTTCCTGCAGAGCCTTTGTAGTGTATAGAACCTTAGGTGGAATCCTGATCCCCATCCAGAACCTTCTGAGGTGGGACATTCCCACTTGAGAGGACAAGCAGACAAGCCTGGAGTAGCTAGAGGAACAGATGACACTTCTTGAAAGAAAGACCAGCAGGAAAAATCAAAATCAAAAACCAAAATGGCAGTCTGATTGACTACTACAATGACAAGCAAGTTGTTCACCAGAGAGCCATCAAGGGAAACAACCAAGTTCCTTCAGGACAAAACCCGCTCTAAGACTGAAACTCAAAGAGTTCACACGAGCAGATATGTAAGCTTGCTGGCTACTGCATTGGTCTACTGGTAAGTGGAAGTGGGGGAACGGCAGCAATGAATATATGGTCTAAGTTTGACCACAATCTACCTGGAGATGAGAGAGAGAAGAGGAAGGGCTGGTTGGTCTGAAGTATGGTGAGACCTGGGACTCCTGAGCCCATGGACAAGTACATAGCCAAGGAGGGCTAGAGCTGAGAGTGAAGCATTCAACTGATATGAAGTGAAGGGAGACACATAACAATGCTCAAAATTGCAGATAGTACCCATTTGACCTAGCATCAATGTCTTGATTATCACAACTCAACAATAAGATAAAAAAATTTGATAAAGGAAAGTAGTGTAAATTGCGACAATTTGATAAACTTGGCCTATACTTGTGGATGTAGTAGCTCAAAATACCAACCGAGAGGGAAGGCATCTTCATCCTATCCCCTCTGTACACAGGGTTGATAGGGATGGGCAACTTAGACATTGGCTACCTAAAATGGGGGGGGTGGGAGGAGAGTCTATAAAGGCACGAAGTGACTTGCTGACTCCCTTACAAGAGGGAGTTTTCAAGAGGGAGTTTAATTTCAGAGTGTGTGTGGGAAGGTAGAATCCCCACTGAATAGTTTTCATCTTGTCTAGATGGGTCTGGTGAATGGAGATGGGGATAAGATTCTTATGATTCAATAGTGAGTTATTGGGATCATGACTAACTGACTGTCACAACTGTAAAGGTAAAAGTTTTATAACATAAAGGGAGGAGTAGTTAATCTTATATTCCAGGAACAAGGGACCCTAGGACCATCAAAGGAGAGGAGCATGAGCAGAATGTGGGACCCTATACACAGAAGCAATGACACCAGAGATGGAGGCAGAAATGATGACATGGAGAAAGACAGCAGCTGAGGACTCTAGACTCATGGAAAGAGAAAGGCTGTGGGCTGGCAGTCAAGAGGCAGGCTTCCAGAATGTGCCCTTTGATTGTTTAAATGATTACATATTCTGAGTGTTTCTGTGTACATCTAAAAAAACAGAAGGAACAGAAGCAAATACTGTTGAATGATGAAGCATGAAGGGGAATGTAATCTTTGCAATGAAACGAAATACAATAGGATGAATGTAAAACCAATGCTCTTGCATGTAAACTATCATCAGTTCATAATAAAAACTTAAAAAAAAAAATAAAAAGAAAGAAAGAAAAGTCAGAGTTGTGGAAACCCAGGTTCCTGATTTAACACCATTCAGTATCCCCTTGTTCTGTTGTAACAACTGCTTCTTGGTCTATGTACAGGTTTCTCATGAGTAAAATGAAATGTTTTGGAATATCCATTAAAAAACAAAAAAATTAAGTATATCTATACTGATATGGAAAGACATCCATAGCACATTTTTAAGTGGAAATACCAAGAAACAACACAGAATTGCAATTAAGAGGTTATATATATTTATTAAAAGGAGCTCTGGTGGAGTTGTGGTTACGAATCAGGCTGTGAACTGCAAGGTCAGCAGTTCGAAACTACCAGCTGCTCCGTGGGAAAAAGATGAGGCTTTCTGGTCCCGTAAAGATTTACAGCCTTGGAAACCCTGTTCAGGGTTGCTATGGGTCGGAACCGACTCGATGGCACTTAACAACAACATACATTTTTTAAAACACTTATGTGGTTTCTAGAAGAAAATGGGTCAAAATGTTAACAGTGGTATGTCTGGGCAATGAAGTAACTGATGGTTTTTAAATATTTTCTTTTTATACATCATCTATTTTCTAAATAATTTGCATTAGACATGTGTAACCTATATAGTAATGTATTACCTTTATTATAATAAAATAATAAAGCTATTTGTAAAATAAGCAATCTAATACATAGTACACTGTAGGTTTCCAAATTCCAGTGTTAAAATTATAACTCTTTGTGAATTCTCATTGCAATGACAAAATCTAATCATCAAAGGAAAATCAGAATTAAAAAATTAACCTGAATCTAAAAGTTACATTGAGGTATCTGATTATCTAAATCATAAACTTATTCTAGTATCAAATCCTGATCAGAACTGATAATGTCTGAGAAGCTCTTTTCTTTCCTTCTTCTAATCATCTAATTAACTTAAAACAAAATTGTTTTAAGTTGAGAGGGAGGAACAGGGTGAAGACAGTGCTGTGAACAACCTATAAATCATATAATCAGCCATGGTTTTTAAAGCAAAAACAAAACAAAACAAAAAATAGTACTTATGCCTTACAGTCCTGCTCCTAAGTGATATTTTATTTGCATATTTCTCCTTCTTTAATATTTCTTCTAAGTTCTCAATACCAGAAGGATCAACCCTTCAACTACTTTGGCTAGACATTTACATGGAAGGAATGGAAATACGTTGGGTGTTTCCTCCAAGTTCAATGAGCAAAGGTAGACTGTAAAAGTGATAGATCATCTAATTCCAGCCCTACATCTTATAAATGAGTCCAAGAGGACAGATGGCTTGAACATGGCTGTTGTTATTTAGAGCTGTCGAGTCAGTTCCAACCCAGAGTGACCCTGTATAGTGTTTCTGAGGAGTGACTGGTAAACTTGAACCACTGACCTTGCAGTTTAAACTGACTTTGCACTCTAGCGCATTAACCCACAGCACCACACCAAGAAAAAGCCTTGAATACCTACACCTATGGATGCAGTAGCTCAAAAGAGGTACAAATCTTTACAGCAAGGATCATTCTCACCCCCTCCATACACAGAGTAAACAGGGATGGGCAACTTGGACACTGGCTACCCAAAATGGGGGAACTACAAAGGCATGAAGTGACTGGCTTACAAGCTTTCAAGAGGGAGCCTAGATCCAGAATGTGCAGAAGAAGGTAGAATCTCCACTGAGTAATGTCCAATCTGTCTGGGCAGGGCTTATGAAAGCAAATGAGGATAGGTCCCTGTGGTACAATGGTGAATAATTGTTATCAGGACTGACTGCGAGGGTTGGAAACGTAAAGGTGGACATTTTGTAGCAAAAGGAAGGGAGTGATTGACTATGCAGTCCAGGAGCCAAAGTCCCTGAAAATATCAAGGAAGAAGAAAATATCAAGGAAGAATACTCAGAGAAGCAGTGACGCCAGAGATGGAGGCAGAGACGATGATGTGGAAAGATGGAGCGGCTGGGGACTCTAGACCCAGAGAGGGAGAGGGGCTGTGGGCTGATGACCGGGGGGCCGGCTTGCAGGGTATACCGTTTGGTTGGTTGATGACACATGGAGGGGATTATAACCATGGCAATGAAACAGTATACCATAGGATGAATGTAAAGCTAATGTTCTCCCATGTAAATTATCACATAATTCACAATAAAACACTGAAAAAAAAAAAAAAAAAAGCCATGAGTAAAACATTCAACTCTTCTGATAGTAGAGGATGCCTACTTCATAAAGCTGCAGATAAGAAGGAAATACGTAAAACAACATCCCAATTTAGCAGTAGAATTTCTGTTGCAAGGGAAGTCATTCAGTGTGTAAATGAAAGGCCATCATCAAGTTTAAGACAGAATTCCCTCTTGTTTTTTATGACATATCTGCCCTCCTAATTTTTTTATTTTAATCCTTGGACGAGAAACGCATTCAGTCTAAATCGCTGTAGCACTTAGGACTTGGTTTGTTAATAATGCATGCTTATTATACAAACATTTTAAACAACAACACAGAAATAAATCCCTCTTTCCCCTATCAGTGTCATACTTCCTACAGGAATTTCCAGTTATTATTGTTTTTGTTGTTTTGTATAATTTGGCAACTTTAAAGTCTACAATTTTAGTCTAGAATTCAATCTTAATTCCATATGCACCAATGGATTAAAGAAATTTAGTCACTGTTAACACTTTTGAGTCTCTCTTCTTCATGTTCTTTTATAATCACATACAAAATCTAGTTCCTCAGGACCAGCAGAGATCATGTAAGCATTTTGTATATAGAGATCACGTATGACAGTTGAACATTAAACAATATATTCTTATAATGGAGAGCTGACAGATATCCTTACAATTTCTATCTAATAGGCTTGGAATGCTAAAATAAGTTTTTATCATGCCCTAGCAGAAAGATGAGG